GGATGAAATGAGGGTAGATTCAGTTGTTTGCCAAACACAGACTCGCGGGAATTGCGGGGGGCGTGGAGGTGGGGGAGTGAGGGGTCGTGGGTGTGGGGAGGTGGGCAGGGCCGGGGGCGTGATCTAGGTAGGTGATTGCGGCAGGTGACTGCGGCAATTGTTGCTGTGCAAGTTTCCTTCCCTTCTCACAGCCGCCACTTGCTCTTGTCCTTCTCCCTTATCGACACAAGGTGGCACCATGAGGCTGGGATGCTGCCCATCGGTTAGTTCCGCCAGTTTTCAAAGTCACTTGATCGGAGTGTGATACAGGTGGGGAGGAGAATGCAAGGGTCCCACCACGTGTCTCCTTCCTTCCCCCTGCTCCGGGCTTCTGAGGGGGTCTCCATGAGGACTGGTCGCAGGTGCTATCCTCTCAGTCCTGGCGCTCACTCCCAGAAGGAGGGAAGTGACCGCCGGGGAGATGCTGTCTCCAGGAATGGGCCAGGTGCGTTGCCCAGGTGAGCTGTGGCCCTTCCGCCCTGGCTGTGCTCTGCCTCCGTGAGGCTGGGGCCTTTCCACGGCCTGGCCCTTGTTTTTCTAGGCTAGGGCGCCCCAAGGGCTATTACGTGGGGCAGAGAACAAAGCAGCAGCCCCCGGGAGAACTAGTGTTTCCCAGCCCACGGGACGCGCGTGTGAACTCGGCACGCGCCCGGCTCTGCGCTCCTGCGTGGCCCCGGGCCTGTCTCTCCCTCTCTGGGACTTGGTCTGCCCCGTGCAGAGGTTCCATCTCCGCTCTCTGTCCTCCTTGTCCCTGACTCCCCGCCTCGCCCTCCTTTATCTCTTCTTATCTGCTTCCTGCCTCTTCTCGCGCCGTCTGCCTCTTTCTCGCGCTTTCAGACTCAGCAGGTCCGCGGTCCCCGTTCCCGGGACCCTTGCTGTCGCTCCTCCCCACGCCCCCCGCCCTCAAGTCTCCCTCTGTCACTGGCTGCGTCAGGGCTCCCGTGTCACCGCCCCGTGTCGGGCCCCATACTCCCCCCACTTCCTGGCGGTGCCGCGGGAGAAGGCTTCGGGAGGGGACGGGCTGGGGGCGTCGCCACCCCCCTCCAGACGTCGGAGGCGCCCTGGGCTGGGGGACGGGCCAGCTCCTGGGGCATCCGCT